GTGTGTGTGTGTGTGTGTGTGTGTGTGTGTGTGTGTGTGTGTGTGTGAGTGAGTGTGTGTGTGTCTGCCCTTAGCTGGGCTGGAGGCCCATCCCTGGCGCACCCTGGCCTGCGCCTGTGGCTTGCTGGGATAGGCTCCTGCTCCCCCGTGACCCTGAAATGGATAGAGGGGTTAGAAAATGGGAGGAAGGAAGTACAACCGAGGTCTTAATCCGAGCCCTGTTGATCTGTGCCTTCTTACTCTGCCCAAGACTGGGTTCCCACAATCGGCACCAGAGCCTTCCTGTGAGCAGCATCGTGCCTGAGGAGCTCACCGCTCATATCCTTTAGAGACTCGGCGACTGCGCACATCTTCAGAACTGTCACTTTTAAAATATACTGTCATTTAGTTTAGCGACCTGGTTTTCCAGGGTTGATGTGTTTATGCTTCTATTTCTTTTTACTCATGTGCTATTGTAAAGCACCTGAACGTCTTGTGAAGTGCTCACATATATAACTGTATTCATTGTATTACAATACAAACACCCTTGATTTTATATAACCCCTTTCATGGTACATAGTCTCAAGACACTATAAACAAATCGATATTGCAAAAAGGCCAGTGTCCGAAGAGCACGAACAAGACAGGAGTCAACAATTGACAATTGTGGTCATTAAGAGATTTATTAGTAGTAATGTGGATTTGTAGAAGGTCAAGTAGGTAGAGGTGTCAGCTTATGGTTATATGGATTTGTATCTCTGTCCATCTAATTCATACAATTGATTCTACAAACTAAAAAACATTTAGCATGCCCCCCCCCAGTGAAAGACAACTTTACTCGATGGGGATTTTTTCCTGATTGAATGTAATTGCAAAAGGAAGACTGCCATGCCATGCATACAAAAATCACAAAATATTCAGAAATCCCCAGTCTGAGTCTTCTGATCTCATTTGTATGGGTTATACACTGCCTTCATGCGCACCCCAGGAGTCTTTATTTATTACAACCACTTGAAACTCATAACAAAAGACACAGACTTGTTTATCTATGACATGATGTTAATGTTAATTGTACTTGACTTGTTCATCTAGTGGTTACATTTTTGAAGACGATACTCATGATTGTATAATCAGATTTACTTAGTTTTGACATTTATATTTTATATGCCATAAATTACCATAATAAACCATCGGCCTTTTAATCTGAAGTGTTTTTCTAGTCTAAAATGTTGTAGCTGATTTGAGCATTTAACAATTAACTATTTGTACCATCTGCAAACATAATAGAAACGTTATATACTCAGAAAATTCATCTGATCCTAATGTAGCAGAGAAAATTGGAAACTCTCCATTGAACTTATGTGTAGCCATAGTGGTTGTTAGCAGTTTAAATATTAAAAAAAATGTTACCATGAAAAACAGATAATCAACTGGAAATACTGACATCAAATATAAACGCTCCCAACTCCTCAGGAAACCTGACAACATTGACCTAAGGTTTAATTAACAGACAACAGACGTTTTGGACGTCTCTGAAAGAGAAATGTCGGAAAGGAGCAAGACGAAATGAAAGCTCTCAGACAGTTCGTCTTCCATCAGTTTCTTTAATGGGTGTGGTCACATTCATTTTTAACAAGAGCCTCGTGTGAAAGTGTGGGGAGTCACAAGGGTTTTCACAGAAAACTGGAGACTGGAGATCCTGTCCTTTGCAACTTTCAGCAGCTGGAAGCATCAGACCTCTGATATCTGAGATGGTGATATCCAGGATGTCTTTGGAATTTGTGGTCAGCGTTCTGCTCACTTGGAGAATAGAGTCCCTACAGTTCATAATAGCCACCAGATACTATATGTACACTAAAAGAATACCAATACCTTGGACTCGGGGATACACATGGTTATCTCGTATGTGATGCCCTGTAAGATGTTTTTCAAGCTAACCTGTGCAAGTACTGTACACACAGTCTCCTATTTGGCACAGTCAGGAGGCTGTCACATCCTTTGCAGAAGCAAAGCAGCCTGCAAAAAAGCTGGCCCAGAACACTTCTTCCACTTCAATCAACACGGTTACGCCCTACTGCGTAAAAAAAAAAAAGTTTCTTACTTCATTGTAGCTCTGTATAAAGAGTAATGTCAGACTCAGTTACAGAAGTGGGAAACCACAATTATAATGATATTTCCTTGCATTGATATATCTCATTTCACAGCAGAGATCTCAAAGGATCCTGAAGTGGCTCTCCTACACATAGGAGGAGATTCATTACATCCACCACTGCCTCCAGCACAGTGCACCAGTACTGGTCTACCAGCACCACTTACTGCAGCAACCTGGATTTCCCTGGACATCTCCCACCCCAAACCAGGCCTGTTGATCACAGCATCAGGTTTGTCATGACTAGCCTTGCTTAGCCTGTGAGATCGGGTGACATCAGGCTACAGGGTGGTTGGGTTGATGCAATGTACAAACTAGAGAAGGATTTTATTAGTCTGAGATTTCTAAGTGTGAAATTTCTAGGATTTCTATGCTGAGACTGCAGTCTGAAACACTCAGGAAGAAAGCGTGCGAGCCTTGAGTCTCACAAGAGAGACATGTGGCAAGAGGAGAACTGACAGCTACTGCAGAGCGAAACGAGCCGATTAAACAGTGTCTCTGAGGACCTGATCAGTCTGACAGATAACGATGTGTTACCCTGAGACCAAGCACGTGGAAAACCACAGGGTACCTCTGCCCTCAGAATAGAATAACACTTTTAACATACGATTTTACGTCGACTATCTTCATTTCAAATCTCTGTCGGTCAGTCAGCGGAACTGTAATGTCCTGAAATGTTGAATGAGCTCCCTCTTGTGGACAGATGGTCGAATCATAAAAGTTTAGTTTTATTTAGCT